CAGCTCATTGGAAAGCACTTAAAGCAGCGGTTCTCAACCTGTGGGTCCAGACCCCTTTGGCGGTCGAACGACCCTTTCACAGGGGTCGCCTAAGACCATCCTGCATATCAGATATTTACATTACGATTCATAACAGTAACAACATTACAGTTATGAAGTAGCAGCGAAAATAATTTTATGGTTGGGTCACAACATGAGGAACTGTATTTAAAGGGCCAGAGGTTGAGAACCACTGACTTAAAGGCAAGAAGAGGCCTTGTCGATTTGGATTTGGAGCTACCAAGCTGTTTCCTTCTGTGCAAGAAACTCTGAGCTAAGCTAATGCCGCTCGTGTCATTTGCTGGCATTCCTGTCCAAACAGAATCCGCTAGTCCTCAAACAAAATAAACATGTTAATGATTTCAGCAGTGGGGATGGATACAGCTTGCCCCAGTTCCTTAGCAACCACTAAATATAATAGTGTAAGTATTTCTGATGTTAAAGATAATTGTTGTCAGCTTAGCAGTCATTGGAACAGAACTTCCTATATGAAAACTGCTCTCTTCCTGGGCCTTCAATTGGTAACAAAATGGCAGTTAGTGAATAATGCCCCATTATTCAGGTGAGAGAGGCCCTTCAGACACCCTAAAATCAAAGAACCCAGGATGAGACATTGAGTGACCATCTCGTCCATAAAATAGCTCTGTCCAAATGGGAGAGTTTCAACTATTGCATGCAGAGCCCCACACCCGTTGATAAGGCCTTAAAGGAAAGTGTGTGCTGATGCCTCGGGACTTCGATAGCTCCCCTAGAGCCTTATTGTTCATAGGCCTGGCTAAGGGGTGGCATCGTCAGTCTCCTCCAGTCAGTATTCTAAGTGAGTGGTTTCTAATAGAAAATCTACTTCTAAAAATCTACTTTTCCACCTTACCTGGTTTGGCTCAGTGGATAGAGCGACAGCCTGCGGACTGAAAAGTCCCGGATTTGATTCCAGTCAAGGGCACATGCCTGGGTTGCAGGCTTGATCCCCAGTAGGGGGTGTGCAGGAGGCAGCCAATCAATGATTCTCTCTCATCATTGATGTTTCTCTCTCCCTCTCCCTTCCTCTCTGAAATTAATAAAAATATAAAAAAATCTACTTTTCCTATTTTCTCCCACTCTGGGTAAGAGTTGGTCGTCTTTGCACTTTGGGAAATTTAGAGCGTCCCACCCCAAAGTGAGTACTAAAATAATGTGAAATTATTTAGTAAAATCATCACAAAAATCTATTTAGCAGAATCAGAAACATGTATTGTTCATCAAGAGCTCAGTAAAGTCAAAGGTCAGGAGAGGCCAGAACTGAGTCAAGCTACTGAACTGAACTTGGGGTGGAAGGCAAGGATGTGTCCTTTTTATTCATTACATCCCCAGCACCTACGAGCTCACTCAAATATTTATTGAATGGTGATGACAGGAATGTATGCTAGACCTTAAGTTAAAATGGACTCAGCCCAGCCGGCATGACTCAGTGGTTGAGTGTCGCCCTATGAACCAGAAGGTCACGGTTCAATTCCCGGTCAGGGCACATGCCTGGGTTGTGGGCTTGATCCCCAGTGTGGGACATGCAGGAGGCAGCCGATCAATGATTTTCTCTCATCATTGATGTTTCCATCTCTCTCCCTCCCCATTTCTCTCTGAAATAAATTTAAAAATATATACATATAATGCAGCTCAAAGGTCTCCATTGCAGAAATAAGTTACTGGAGAAAGGATCATGGAGTACCTTGCCACTGGATAACTAGAAATGAATCTTAGCTTAAACTGGCCGTGGTCAACATCCAAGGACCAAAACCAAAACAAAACCAACCAACAGAACACACAACGGGGACAACAGGCAGGAAACAGATTGTACCTGATAGCCAGAGACTATTCCAGAGCTTGTTTCAGCAGGAACACGTCCTATGATCAAAGACTGAACCCTTTCACTTCTTGTCTTCTTGGTGTCGCCAAGTATGAATTGGGGATATGTACAGAGAACTGGGGGAGGGAAGCTCCTAAACTTCCTTCTCTCCCAGCCATGATTCTGTGATCATGAGTTAAGGATACACTTCCTGTCCTCATGGACCAATTCACATGTTCGTTTGAGTCAGACATCCTCTGTTACATCTATTCTGCACTTCTCTTAAGACTCAAGAGAAACATTCAAGCAGATTCATCACAATGTAGGAATACTTCAACGGAAAACATGAATCTCTGTGTCTGCGTGAGGGTTACTGTTCCTCAGCTCTGTCAGGACCTGGGAAAAGGCTCAAGGGGTTATGACCAGTGTCTTCAATCATCACATGGCACACAGAGTATTGTCCCTCTCCCCAAGATGTCCCTATCCTAATTCTCAGAAGCTGGGAATATGTTGTATTACATGGCAAGAAGGAATTAATGTTGCTGATGAACTTCAAATAGGGATATGTTCCTGAGTTATCCAGGTGGGCCCAATGTAATCACAGGGGTCCTTACAAGTAGAGGAGAGAGACAGAAGTGCCACAGTAACGTGGTGTGAAAAATACTGTTCTGGCCATTGATGACTCTGAAAATGGAAGAGGCCACAAGCCAAGGAATGCAGGCAGCTTCTAGAAGCTGGAAAATGCAAGAAAACGGATTCTCCCCTAGAGCCTTCATGTAGGGATGCAGCCCTGCCAACACCTTCATTTTAGCCCAGTAAAGGGCCATTTTGGACTTCTGGCCTTCAGAACTGTAAAACAATAAATTTGTATTGTTTTAAGCCACTAAATTTGTTACAGCAATAAGAAACTAATACACACCTATTGAACATCTTTCATCTATCCTTAATCCCTGATATGGAAACAAGTAGAAAAAGAAAAAATACCTCAGTTGTGTTAATGTTGATTTGTGGTTAGGCTAGTAAGTGGTATCTTGCCAACCTCTGTCCAGTGGAACAGGATTCCAGACAAGAAAGACTGGTTATATCCTCAAGTTACGTAATGAGTCAGGTCCTGCCACAGGCATAGCAGATAACAGGTTTTCTTTGAACTTGGAAATTTTACAGTGACAAGTTTGTAACCAGTTGAAAAGGTCCCTGTGGAAAGGGTAAGTATCCCCATTCCTTCAGGTATGGATTCATTCATTCTTTGAAAATGGAAGGTTACCTATGAAATATTTTAGATCTAAACAGTGCTTTTATTAATATAGTACAGCAATCAGGCAAATCAATTCCTTTCCCCACCCCCAAGAAAGATAATGAAGGTAAGGAGATTAAACATTGCTTATAGGAAACAATACAAGCCAGCCCTACTCTGAACATTTCTTCTCATGTTTCCCACCTTTGGTCAACACAGCTGATACTCAGCTGGTTGGTTTTCTAGGATATAAATTATGGCAGTTCACGAGGACCGAAAGTACAGATCAATTAGTGCCTACAGATATTTATGCCTTTAATAATATTTTCCAATTTTACTCGTCATTTATTGGCTTTTACCTGGTACTTTATGGTTTAAAGAATTTGATCCCAAGATATACTTTGGTGCTTATGAACTGTCACACTTGGTTTGAAAAGCATCTCCATGGAAGTCTTTTTTAAATCTAATAGCTCCTACTGAATACCTAGAGAAGAAGTTTAAACATTCAACTTCAATAGCCCATGGGGACTCTGTGTGTAAACATTCTTGATAGTGTACCCTTTTATCTCGGGTGTTGTATTTATTAACAACGGCTATTTCTCTTTGGGGCAAATGTCAGAGTTCTTAAACATGAGTTTTGTTATGCCTTCCAACGGATTGTTTTGCCCTTGAAAACATCTCTGCGGTATCATAAAAGTTGAGAACCAACCTGTCACTGTGACTCTAAATACAACTTGTCAGGAATGTTTTTGATCTGTGAGGCAGAGCCGAGTAATATGGTCTGTGAATAACAGGTGTTCTCTTCTTAAATTAATTCTTTTGCTGACTACAGGCCTGGCTTTATTGCTTCTAGAGCAGGGTGGGGAACCTTTTTTCTGCCAAGGGCCATTTGGATATTTATAACAGCATTCTCTGGCCATTCAAAATTATCAACTTAAAAATTAGCCTGCTATATTGGGTCAAACATTTCACTAACTCACCCCTAATGCCTTGGCAGGGCCAGACCAAATGATTTCGCGGGCCTTATACTGCCAGTGGGCCGGACATCCCCACCCCTGCTCCAGAGTCTGGGTTAACATTAGAACTGTTGTTACTCCAAAGAGCTAGACCTCACCAGATGGAGTTAATTTGGCTAGTGGAGGGCCTGAGCGCATTCTCAGAACATGGGCCGGGTGTGTGTGTGTATGGGGTCGGGGTGGGGGATCTGCTTTGATTGTTGACATTTGGGATCCTGATTTAGTGCCTCCACCCCCATCTGTCAGCGTCCAGCTGATCAAATGAGCTTTTTCCCAAAGCTGCAAAAGTGGTTGAAATGGCCACGCCCCCATGTTGCCAAGGAAGTTAAAAGCATTCATTCCATCAGGTGTAAGAAAGGTGGGTGGAGCCTGAGATTCTGGATCATGAGGCGTGAAACTTGGATGTTTCAGTTGTGAAGGCCCCAGGCGACCTCTCCAGCACCCACTCCGTGAGAGGTAAGCACTTTCTCACGGTCACTGAGTGACCGCCTCATCGCTGGAGAAGCCTCGGGACAATGCCGGCTGCCTCATCGATTTAGAGACCTTTCCAGGCAAAGGAGGCTTCAGAAGCCATTCCCTCCAACCCTTCATTCAACAGAAGTGGACACTGAGGTCAGAGAAGTGGTTTGGCCAAGGCCAGCAAGCAAGTTGGCAGGGGAGCCTACAAGCCAAAGTCCCAACCGGGGTCCCCACGTGACCTCGCCCCCAGGCGGGTCTGTTCATAACTAGCGTTTAAGTCAGGTGCGTGCCCTCTAGCAACTCCTTGGTTCTGCCCAGTGCTGCCCAGCGCAGAGGCCCGGCCTTCAGTGCTGGGGACACAGCTGGGCAGAGCTGGGCCAGCTGTGACGCCTGGAATTTTGCACACGTTTGAGAAACAAGCAAAAATGCAATTCTGTATCCCTTTATTTAGAAACAGGTGGGGAATGCTGTGTTCCGTTTGGGAGCAGGAGTGGACTGGGAGCGGGAGCGAAAGGGTTGGGGTAGGTTTGAGGGCTGATTCCAGTAGTTTGCATGATTCAGCACCAGAGCAAATGCTTGGGCATAAGGTCAGCCTTGAACCCACATAGTCATCGTCATCTTGTCTAATATGTACAGCATAGTCTACAGTATGTATGCTCCTTATGGCTTTGTCCCGGAACACATTGCTATGACGCAACAAAAATCTCAAGTCTCAAGAGGAGAAGGTGCAAACGCTTTATGAGTTTATGGCCGAGACTGGTGCCAAACGGGTCCCCCAGGCACAGGAATGCCTCTGCTCTGTTGGGGCTCATCTGACTCAGCTGCGTCTGCTTCTCCATCTTGTGTCTTGCCCTAGGGTTCGGCTGGGTGCGCAGATGAGGCCTGAAGATGGAGAAAAAGCAAACCCACGCTCTTTCTGTCCCTCCCTCCAGGGATGGCTGGACTGACAGGAACTATGGCCTAAGGCGTGGAGCAAGATTGCAAGCCCGCAGCTGGGTCTCTTCTCCACCGAGCAGGTCAGAAGGTAGAACTTCAGTCTTGGGTTGATTCCCTTTACCTTTGTAAGGCCCTGGTACACGGGAGCTGGCTTCCCACAAACAGCCATTCGCGGTGACCCCGGCATTACAAGTCCCCCGTGTGTTTAGCTGGTGGAACGGTGGACATCTGATTTCAGGGTTCCCAGGAGGAGGGTGTAGTGGCTAATGGAGAAGTCCTGACATGGGGAGGCAAGGGGGCTGGGGTACCCACACCCCCCATGGGTACTCGTTGACTTTGGGTGTCCATGAAAGAAAGCCTACTTTCTCCACCTATTAGTGGGGGTGTAACACTTGACAGTGAGTGGAGAGGAACTACTCTCTCATTCTCACCCTCCTTCACTGAACCTGTCCCCTTCCACAACCCCAAGTGGTGTGCTCTTGTCCTCCGTCCGAAGCATCCTTCCCTTTCTGGAGCAAAAGAATCCTTCCTTGCCCTGACCGGTTTGGCTCAGTGGATAGAGCGTCGGCCTGCGGACTGAAGGGTCCCGGGTTCGATTCCAGTCAAGGGCATGTACCTTGGTTGCAGGCACATCCCCAGTAGGGGGTGTGCAGGAGGCAGCTGATAGATGTTTCTCTCTCATCGATGTTTCTAACTCTCTATCCCTATCCCTTCCTCTCTGTAAAAAATCAATAAAATATATTTTTAAAAAAAGAATCCTTCCTTGCTTTTGGTCATTTCTGCTGACCTCCTCAAGCTTGCATCATGCTTTGGACATCCCTCACTGCAGTCCCGGCTCACTGTTGGCCATTGCTGTTGACTGACTGGCCCAAACAGAACCACCCCTTCTCGTCCTGGGAAGGGGAGAGGCTGAAAGAAACTGATGGCCGCAAAGCATCAACTGTTAGATTTCAGAATCCCCGTCCCCCGTCCCTTCTCAGTAGTCTTGTCACCTTAGGTGTTGTTGCTAGCGGTCAGGAGAGGGACATTCGTTGAGATTTAGAATCCACTTGGGGATCATTTTGGCCCATCTCTGGAATATCTCAAGCATGGGGCATTTCCCATAATTGGCAGCTATGATGGCACTGAATCTGAGTCACGTAAGTGGCACCTGTCCGTAGGGGATATGAGGCCTGCAAACTTCTAATCAGCCCGATACATCAATCCCACACTATGTGCTCCAGAGAAGGATTCGGGTAAAAGTGGGTCTATCTGCCCTGGGCCTCTCTCCAGGCACCTCTTTTCTCTTCCCCTGTTTCTCACCACCTTGTCTCGCCTCACTCGTCTTCTCTTCCTGGCTGTGAGTGTCGCCCAACTGAAGCAGTAAGCACGCGTGCCCAGTTTGCCCTGAGTGCATCACTGAAGAGAGAGACCTCCTCGGTCTCTAGGCCTTGACTGCAAAAAGGAAATTTCTCCCCCCAGGCCATGGTCCTGACAGCTCTCTGTCCCACATGAGCGCTCGACAGAGTTCTTGGGGGAAAGGCCAAGAACAAGGAGGTTTCAAGCCAGCTTAGCTTCATGGTAAGCAGGGAGGTAGTTCAACCCCAACACAAGGGGGAAAGACATCCACCTTCCTTCACTGCTTGCCCCCCTTGTCACCCACAAAGCCAGTCCCCAAGGCCTCTGAAGAGGGGTGTTTGTGTCACAAGATGTTGGGCTCTGCCTGCCAGTTGCTGATTCAGGCCTCTGTCTCTGGCTTTACTGGGAGAGCCTGGCAATGCCTTTTCTACCCCAGCATGCAGTTCTACGCCTGGACTCTACCTGCTCACTCCCTCTCTGGGATGTGGGGATAGTGACTTCAAATAACTCAGCAGGAATGCTTAGGGTCGGCATCCCGTTTGTCAAACCTAAGGCCAGGGGTGAGTATAATACTCCCTGGATCACTGCAAGGCTGAGCTCAGAACTTAAGTTCCCACAGTGCTCCGTGAAACTCTTTCAGAGCCTCCCTTCACTCCAAACTCTGATGGGAAGCCAGGAGACCAGCACCTGGATTTCCTGGCTGGTCCAGACATTTCTACAGGGCCCCAGGATGAACTGCTGTCGAAGTGCCCAAGTCACAAGGGAACCAGAGAGGCCTGGAGACCGAGGATTTCACCGGGGTTGTGAGAATGAGAGCAGGAGAGGAGTCTATTCTCGGGTTGTATATGGTCTGCACCCTGGGTGGCATGTTTGAGAACAGACACATGCAGGTAGCACCCCCTATTGGTATACTACGTAGTTTGGTACATCAAACTGTTACTTGAGGTCCATGAAACGGCTAACTGGTCAGAAATGGGGGAAGCCAAGGCAGAGCAGCTCCACTGGCCTTTCCGAGACAGTGTTGTTCTTTATTGCATTTCCCACAGATGATGGTGACAGGGAAAAGCAATGAAGTCAATGCGATGGTGCGAAAGTACCACCAGGAGCACATCAGGCCGTCCGTGGCGCTCTCATTTCTGGGACAGGAAAGAACAGATGCATTACAACGCTGGGTCTCAGTGGCTGAACTGAGAAGGTTGGCATTTGCCTTGGACGCAACTGTCTCTATTGGGGACAGGTGAATTCTGGCAGAGCTGCGGTGGCAGGGGGCAACGTGCAGGGCCCTTAAGAACCGGAAGTAGCGGGTTGAGGGAACAGCCGCTTCCACACGTGGTGCACTTGGTGGGGGTAGGTGTAAAGACCAAAGCAGGATGCACCCCATGGGGTGCAAGTCTCCCGGGGTGCTCTGCATCGTTCCTTAGCAAGGTTAAAGTACAGCAATTCTACATGATGCTAATGAAGTTTATAGGTTGTCCAGCTGGAAACCTCCATGCAGGGCCCAGGTGTTGGGCTGAGTGGAGACTGAAGTCTCCAGACCTTCCCAGGTTCTCCCTGCTAAGCTGTAGCTCCTGCAACTCTTAACCTTTCATACACCCACCACCCAGGCACCCCCAGTGTCCCCGCCGTCCTCCCCAGCCTGTGTGGTGTGGCTCCTGTGTCTGTCAGCAGCCTTTACTTCTCATCCTCATCCCCCTCGCTCAAGCTGCTGATGGAGGCTGAGGCTGCTTTGGGCGAGGAGGGGGGTGAGGTTTTGACTGGGAGCCAGGAGAAGGTGGGCGACGGGGAGCGGGAAGGGGACCGGCTCCTGGTGGGGCTGCTCACGGGGCTCTGCTTCGGGGACAGGGCCTGAAGCATCCGGCTACTCCTCTCCTGGAACATCTGCTTCTGCAGAGGAATTAGAGAGAAAGCATCTGTTAGTTACCTGAGATCACAGCAAAACAGCAAGGAAAGGCAGAAAGGAGAGCCCCCCAAACGTCTGCGCCCCCACATGGACTTGTACTCCAGGCCATGTTGGCCAAGACTCTCTAGGGAGGAGCTGCATGAAACTCAGGACCACGGAGCTGCTGACACATAAGGGCACCACCACTGCTGGTGCCTGGCACTGTCTCCTTCGTGCCCTCTTCTCCTCCATCTACAAAATCTGAGTGGCTGTTATTTGCCAGGCGAACAGCAATGTCCTGGATCCCGGAAGGGTAGCAGGAAAGAAAACCCAAAATCCCTGTCCTCGTGGTTATTGTATAAGGAGGCATCACACACAAAAAAATCAACATAAGATGAAGATGTCAGACGGAACCATCGTCTGAGAAAAAGAAATGGACAGAGGAAGGAAATAAAAAAAAAAGAGAGGGATGTGAGCATGGAGACAAGTGGGGTGCAGTTGCAAATGGGGTGCTCAGGGGACGCCCCCCCCCCCCCGAGAAAGTGCTATTTGAACAAAGACTTGAAAGAGATGAGGGAGGAGGCCACATGCAGGGAAATTAGGAGGAAGTACAGTCCAGGCAGAGAACCCCGAGAAGGGAGCATAGAGTTCACGTTCAAGAAGGAGCAAGGAGGCCATGGTGGCTGGAGTGGAGTCACGTGGCTGAGGAGGGGCATGGAAAGAAGGGCATGAGGGCGAGGTCGCCAGAAAAGTCCCAGCGAAGTGTGCTATATAGGGTCTTGGTGGCCATGTGAGAATTTCAGCCTTTATGCTGAAGAAAAGAGAAACCTCTGGAGAGTGCCTTTACCTCTGCAGTTCTGAGCAAAAGAGTAACAAACTGCCCAGCCAGCGTGGCTCACATCGACCTATGAACCAGGAGGTCACAGTTCAATTCCCGTTCAGGGCACATGCCTGGGTTGTGGGCTCGATCCCCAGTGTGGGGCATGCAGGAAGCAGCCGATCAACGATTCTCTCCCATAATTGATGTTTTTATCTCCCCCTCCATCTCCCTTCCTCTCTGACATATGTAAAAATATATTTAAAAAAATAATAATAACAAACTGACTTTGGGTTTAAAAAGACCACTCTGCAGTGCTGGGAGCAGACCACAGTAAAGCAAGGGCAGGGGCAGGGAGAAGAGCCGGGAGCCGCTGCAAGGAGAATCTGAGACTGCGATGGTGCCTTGGACCAGAGTGATGGCCAGGAGCTTGGCTGGCATCCGGGTATGTTCTTTTTTATTGATTTAGAGATGGAGAGAGAGAGAGACAGAAACATCAATGATGAGAGAGAATCATTGATTGGCTGCTCCTGCACACCCCCTACTGGGGATCGAGCCAGCAACCCAGGCATGTGCCCTTGACTGGAATCGAACCTGGGATTCTTCAGTCCGCAGTCCGACGCTCTCTCCACTGAGCCAAACCAGCCAGAGCCCGGTCTGTTCTTTTCCCATGGTATTATTAAGGTGTCCTTTACTTAAAGTAACACCTTTTAGCATGCAGTTCTGTGAGTTTCGATAAATGCCTATAGTTGTGTGATCACCACCACAAACAAATTCTAGGAATGTCCCATCAGCCCTCAGTTTCCTCAGGACCCTTCTCTAGTCACCCCCTCCTCAGCCTCTGGCAACAGATCTGGCTTCTGTTCTGCGGTTTTGAAATATCACTGAAATGGAAGTGTGCAGCATGTGGTCTGGCTACATGTTGAGTGCAGAACCAGCAGGACTCGAGACAGATGTGCTGTGGGGCGTGGGAGGAAGAGGCATCAAGCAACTCCGGTTTCCAGCCTGTGAAACTGGAAAGCCGGCGATGCCATTTGTTGGTGCGGGGTGGGTGAGGGATGGGGAGTGGGGAGCGGGGGAGGCTGTGGGGGTGCGGGAGGTTTGGATGGTAAGATGGGTTTTCCAGTCTGGGACCTCAGGTGCCTGCTGCCTGGTGCTTTTGGAACTGAGCCCTCCCCTGACAGTGACTTTCTGGGGAGCCCCTGCGTGCCAGGCCGCCCCGAGCTGCCCATGGATCTAACCTTCTGCGCTTTGCCTGCAGCACACGCCCCCCAACCCCAACACACATGCCCTTGACCGGAATTGAACCTGGGACCTTTCAGTCTGCAGGCCGACGCTCTATCCACTGAGCAAAACTGGCTAGGGCTCCTACTAGGTTATTTTAGACTTTGCTTGTTGTGTGAGTGATTTATTTTACAAACCACTACTGAACCTCTGGGACCAGGGGCTGCACAGGAGGTGGTCCTGTCTGAGCTGGGACTTCGGTGATGCACAGGAAGGGGGGTTAGGCATGGAGGGAGCCCGTGGGCTGCTGGAGGGCTCACTGGCCAAGCAGAGGGAGCTAAGTGGAAAGTACTCAATATGATTGCTTGGCGTGGCCAGAAGCCTGAGTGTATGTGCGTGTGTGGATGCACGTGGAGCACCAGGAGGAGGTGGGATCCCCCCCCCCAAAAAAAGCCCCTGGAAGATTTTAGTCAAGGGAAGGGTATGATCAGATTGGTGTTTTAGAAATATCTTTGGGTATGAGCATAAAAGGAAGGAAAGAAACCATACAGGAAAGGAACTAATGTTTGGCTGTAGTAAAATTTCTGAACCTCCAAAAAGCCACTGTGAAATAGATAAAAGCAAAAGAAAAAACTGGAATTTTTTTGCACCATTTAACTGCAAATTATGAATCTTAGTATAGAAACAAAGCTTAAACATAAAAAAGAAGGTAAAAACTTTCCCAGAAAAATGAGCATATGGCATATACAGGCAATTCACAGAAGACTTAAAAATGAACCGTAAAAAAGGTTCGGCATCACGAGTAAACAAACAAATGCAAAATGACTGAAGTGAGATTTCTTTTTATATATCAGACTTAAAGATTTTTTAAGCCTCCCAACTTAAAACAATTGTTTCCCAGATGTAGTTGACAGATGGCGCTTTGGAAGCTTAAGGCATACAGTTCTGTGTTGTAGCATCTTTGGGGGTTAGCATGCTCTGACTTCTTCATCATGTTCTCACGTGTAATTCCTACAAGTCTTTCTCTTGTGGTTACTGTGAGGCTTACATAGAATATCTTAACATTATAACACCCTGTTTTGAACTTTATGCTTTCACTTCTCCTCCTCACATTTTAGGTTATTGATGTTATCGTTAACATACTTTTATTGTGTAAACAATAGCAGGTTATTGCATTTCTGGTTATTTTTACCACATTTGTTTTCTTACTTTTAAATTCGAGTTGTAACTGAGTGATGTATCACCACTACCACATTACAGAATCTAAATTTGACTAAATATTCATTACCAGTGAGCTTTATTCTACTTTCTCTTTCTTTTGGGGGGGGGAGGGTTGAGGGAGATGGAGGGGAGGATTCAGGGTTGTAATTTAAAATTGTTTACATTTCGTTTTTATCTATGGAGATCTCAAAAACTGTGACTGCCCAACCGGCATGGCTCAGTGGTTGAGCGTCAATCTATGAACCAGTAGATCACGGTTCGATTTCCAGTCAGGATACATGCCTGGATTGTGAGCTCGATCTCCAGTGTGGGGCATGCAGGAGGCATCCAATCAATGATTTTCTCTCATCATTGATGTTTCTCTCTCTCCCTCTCCCTTCCTCTCTGAAGTATATATATTTTAAATTGTGGCTGAGGTCTATAACTTTAAGTTTGTAATCTAGGCTTATATGATACTAGAGGCCCAGTGCACGAAATTCGTGCACGTGTAGGGTCCCTAGGCCTGGCCGGCGATCAGGGCCAATCAGGGCCTTCCTTCATTCCACACTGCCCCCTGGTGGTCAGCATATGTCATAGCGAGCAATCGAACTCCTGGTTGAACTCCCAAGGGGACACTTTGCATATTAGCTATATATATATATATATATATATATATATATATATATATATATATATATAGAGAGAGAGAGAGAGAGAGAGAGAGAGAGAGAGAGAGAGATTACCTAACTAATAGTCACTAGTGACACACCTGAGAAACTCAGACCAAACAAAACCTAGCCTAGAGACTTGGATGACATTGTAGCCCATCCAACTCATTGATAAATCCTTAAAGCTTTAACCCTTCCCTCTTCCACCTGCACCCCCCCCCCCCGCCCCAATTTATAATGCCCTCTTTTTAAGAGAAGGATGGTGGAATTACTTTGCCTTGGAATTAATGGTATAAAGATGTACCTTCTCATATGTGTAATACTGATTTATCTCTATCCCTGGTCACTTCCTACCTAACAGTCTGCATCTCATTACTATTGCAGCAGTTTTGGCTCCCAAGAATAACCCTCTAAGGAGGATGATATGTATACCAGTGAGTCTAATACCAGGGCATGCATTCACATTTTTATCAGCATATAACAGTTAAGTCATCCTTGAGTGTACTGTACTCCCCCCGCCCCCATCCTCCCCTCTGGCAACCATTAGCTTGTGTTTTTTTTTTTTTAATTTTAATTTTTTTTATTGATTTCAGAGAAGAAGGAAGGGAGAGGGAGAGAGAGATAGACATATCAATGATGAGAGAGATTCATTGATTGGCTGCCTCCTTCACACCCCCTACTGGGGATCGAGCCCACAACCTGGGCATGTGCCCTGACCGGGAATTTAACCGTGACCTCCTGGTTCATAGGCTGACGCTCAACCACTGAGCCACGCCGGCCAGGCAACTTGTTCTTTATGGGTCAGTTTCTGTTTTATTGCTTTTAGATTCCACAAATAAGTGAGATCATACAGTATTTATCTTTCTCTAACTTATTTCACCCAGCAAATGTGGCAGCAGGACAGGCCCTAGGGCCTGCATGGTTTTTGTTTGGGAACCTGAACCAGGCAAGACTGCACTGAATTCCATGACTAGATGGGGCCATGGATTTTGTTGTGTAGATAGGGAGAGACGTGGGCAGTGCCCTCTGTTGAAGTGCCACTGTAGGCAGGGCTGTTGGATGGGCTATGCAGCTTCCTGTGTGTCTGATTAGGTTC